TCACTAATACACAAATCATTTTGCAATTGTGTGTGTGGGAGAAAAATTAGTGTGAATGTTTGTGCGTATCTGTCGGAAAGGCGACTATACAATGGACCTAATGGTGTGTATTAGACAAGGAGTGTGTGAGTGTGTGTGTGTGTGTGTGTGTGTGTGTGTGTGTGTTTCAGGCGTGATGTCACCAGGATTGGAAGTGACAGGCAGGAAGTATCAGAGGCAGCTGGGTAACAGCCCACTAACCACACAGGGGAGGGCTCTACACTGAACGACATTACCAGTGGGGGGAGAGAGACTATAGAGACATACAGAGAGAGAGAGGGAGGGAGAGAGAAAGAGAGAGAGAGGAGGGAAAGGAAACAAAAACATCACAGATGAATCGAATAGGAGGAAAAAATAGGACATGTGGGCTGCAGAGGAAATCTGTTTAGTTGTTATTAAAGCGAGAAAAAAACTTCACAGCATCCATCCTGAGCCGTCAAAGGTTAAAGGAGCAGTTCACAGTTTAGTGAAATTATTTGTCCTCTTTTCTCGAGGTGATGTGCAAGATGGCACCTGTAAACTAGATATTTCGGCTAAATTGTTGTTCAACAGGAGAAAGTAGAGACGTTTCATCCATCTTTATCTACAGGCTGACTCCTGATGATCCTCCATCTTTGTGCTGAACTCAATGACGCTATACTCAACATGTCCTGGTTTTCATCTTAAGAGTTTTCCACATACTCTTCCTTCACATGTTTTTCTAAAAAAGCAGTCAATAATAGAAAGGAGAAAGCGTCAATAATTTCACCAGGAAATGTTGTCCTGGAAAGAAAGTATGAGCAAAAGACAGGAAAATGAAAACAGTGAGGGATCTGTTGAAAAAAGCAAAGTCAATGGAGGGTAGGAGAAAAGAGACTGGAGGGACAGACACGAGCGACGGAGACAGACAGTGACTAATAGAGATTAGACGAGAGCAGTTATGAGTCAAACGTGAAGACGGGATGGGAGATGAGAGACAAAACTAAAAAAGAGGAGTGAGAGAAATGGGGTGAGCTGATGAAGAGAATAGAAAATGAGCAAAGAGAAGAGTAGAGAGGAAAGAGAGAAGGGAAAAGAGAGAGAGCGAGGGAAAGAGGAGAGAGAGATGTTAGAGTGAAATTAAAAAAAGATTAAAATATCAGAGAGGAAGAGGGAGATGAGGAAGGTCAGTGAAGGAGAGAGGACGACTGGTGGGGGCTGTATCTCATATGACTCCATTAAAGTTTGAATAGGTCTCATCCCTCTCTCTGTTTACACACACACACACACA